TACTGAAGTCCCACATTATTATGAATAATAAGAAAATTATGCACTTACCTTCAGCTATCTGGCCAAAATTTGAAAAGTCCTTCTGCAAAGTAGTCTCACCAGTAGAGTATGATAAATCTACATCAAAATAAGAACAAGTAGAACTTGATATAAATATAGTAAATTAAAGGAAGAAATCATGTGCTCCGTGGCATACAGACATCAGAAGTGAAAAATATTTTAAAGCATATGAAAAGACTGATCACCAACGAAATTAAAGAATTACATAAAGTAAAGAAAATTCACCACCCAACAATCCATCAGAATTATGTAGACTGAACCTAAAGTCAAATTCTGAATTCGATCTAATTATATCAGCAACGAGTTCAAATTCAGAAAACAATCTCTTTGCAAAAATAAAAGGTTAAGGCTGTGGACAAATATATCGCAACCCCTTTACTCATAAATTGGGGTTTCATGGGGAGTCGTTTATATCAGTAAATGTTGGAATGTAACCACTGGATTTGTGGGTATTATAGACAGGAAAAAGTTATTGCAGTGTAGCTACATAAATTATCACCTGAGAGGCAGTATGGCGGGCAAGAAGAGGCTTTCAGTAGATTGGTGATGCACATTAAGTCAATCAGTTAATCCAGAAGATAAATTGTTACGATCCCACACCCCCAAGGGAGTGCCACACCCAAGACCGGCCAATGGGTGGCAGAACCCTTTGATTTATTAATAGATTTGAAGTTATTGCATCTTTAGATGTGGGATTGGTCGCATTGCCACCCCTTTTAAGGGCCGACGTCCACGGCGGCTTCACTCTGTCAACACTGACGTGGTGGTAGCTTTTTTTTTCCTTTTGGCGGCTTCACTCATCTGTCAGCCCCCCCCTATTTTTTTTGGGAAATATGACCCTTTAATCCAGCCTATAAGTAGCCCTTTTCCGTGACTTCATCTCTAAACAAAATCACTAATTGTTACGATCCCTCACCCCCAAGGGAGAGCCACACCCAAAAGACCGGTCAATGGGTGGGAGAACCCTTGGATTTATTAATAGATTTGAAAGTTATTGTATCTTTAGATGTGGGATTAATAACATAAGTTCATTTGGATAGAAGTTTAGTCCTTCAGAAGAAAATGCTTCCAGTATGTTTAGAAGTTCATTTGGATAGAAGTTTACAGGAAGTCCGTATGTTTAGAAGTCAAAAGCACATAATATAATAGCTAAGGCAAAGCCAATTTTATCTAAAATAAAAATGTAGTTAGCACAGCAAATCAGGATAATGTTACTTTGCCAGATGCCAGATGAATGGATGAATGCAATATTACTATTCAAAGTCAAAATTCAGTAAATAGTTGTGTAATGGGACCTTTGTAATTTCATTTATCAATTAAAGACATTGGCAAAATGATTCTTTTTAGTAGTATACAAGAATTCATTACCATTACCATAAAGGACAGAGGATCAAGAATTCTCCCAAACAGAGAAAATGGGTATATAGAACAAAACAAAACAAAAAAGCAAAAAATCAGCTTAAAAGGACTCTTAAATCCCTTTGCATATCTAATAAAAACACCCCCTCCTCTCCCCAAAAAAACATGACTTAAACCTACATAGAAGCTAGAAAAACACATCTATCTTGAAGATGTTCCAATAAAATTTCTTAAATGAAAGATTCTTGTTGTGTGCAAGCCACAAAACAAACTACCAGAGAGAGCACAGTACACACGTCCATAACAAGAAAGAAAAGTACATCTCATTAATGATGGTCTGTATGCTGCAGCATAATGTTCTTAATATATATATATAACAAAGGAAGATCAAAAATGGGGGAGATGAGGATTTTCATGATGCAAATTAACAAAATAGAAAGAAAAAAAGTAAATCGGGTTAAGAAAGCTTCAAATCCCTTGGCATAACAAACAAAGACCCCACTGAGAGGCCAGGAAGAAAAGCTTAAATTTCTGCTGAAACATATAACTTATGCACTAGCTAAAGAAATTGCAATCCTGTAAACAGAGTACACCTAAAAACCTTAAAAACCCTCATCATCCCAAAGTCCCAAAAGTGAATAGCTAGAAGAAGCGCCCAAGACATTGCATTCCATTTACACAGTAGGCAATAAAGTATTTTTTTTCTTTTTAATGAAAAATGAGGCAACAAAAGTTATGGACTTAGGAATCATATAGGCACAACCGGTGCTATAAACATTATACCATTCCTTTCCAATTGCTCTTGTCATATCACCCCAAAATCATTGTGTAATTATTCTTTTCCATCACTATGCTTGCATGAGATCAAGTTAATGAGGCAAATAACAAGGTATACTGTAATTGCAACACTTAATTATGATATGCAAGAAAAACAATGAACATAGCAAACCAAACTCAAGCCAGTATTCGCATGACACAATTCAGACCATGTTCATTGACATCATATGGTCATGTTCAAACTTCAATCGCATGTATAATGAATGGTGGCGTCGTTTGTAAAGTTGGTTTTGAAACTTGATTTGGCAGACACAGAAGGTTGAATTTGATCCTCACCAATTCAATTCCTATTATAATGCATTGCCTAGAGATTAATCACAACACTATGTACATAGTATAATGATCAGGAAACAACCATAAGCAATCATCAAAGAACTTAATCAGTCTGTTATATCTGCTTGCCTCACTAATATCCAAAGTCGGCAACTAGTCACAAATTCATCAAGGCCAATCTAAAATCCTTCAAAAAAAAATCTCGGGAAAATACAATATATTCACCATTCGCCTGCTTCATTTCAAAATGAAACCCTTTCCACCATACCCGAAATACATTCTAAAATCTAAACCTAACCATGTTTCAAGCACTTAATCTTTCAGAAACCCTTAAACATAAATACCCCACTAAGGTACAAGGTACAAACATTGAGCCACCTATACATTTTTGTAGGATAAACAACCTTAAAAAATAAAAAAATGTTCAACAACACTTAACAGAGTCTTAAAAATCGTTAATTAACCCTAAAAATACAATTAAAACAAAAACACAAACTTAAGCTAAGTCTATGTGCATCAATTACCCATTATCACCCAATTGCTTACATCTTCTTCTTGGATGGTGATTTTTCAAGAAGGTTTGGCTTAAAAATTGCAACTTTGTTATTCAAAAAAAAAAAAAAAAAAAAAATTGCAACTTTATTAAATAAATAATTAAAAAAGTACAAAAGTTGCAAGTTCAACAGTGTATCCCACAAGCATAATTGGGAGAGATGTGCATTACTTTTAACAATGATTTTGCTTGCAAGAGGGTACTCATGCCGAGAGCTAAGCTTAGGAAGAGAAAGATTCGCTCTTACAGAGGGTTTTACGGAACCAGGGAATGAAGCCAACATGCTCAACTCCATCAAAGCCCACGAAGCTAACACAACCTTTTTCAGTTTCAACTAAATTCAATGGTTGGATATGTCCTCCTAAACAAACCTATCTTGAGTCATTCTTCACTTTAGTCCAAAAATATAATTTATATTTATTTATGAATATTTTGATGGAAAAATATATTTTGAAAAAAAAAATATTATTTTAAATTTTAATCGTTGATTTCTGTCAATTTAATGATTATAATTTATCAAATTTAATTATATAATAAATTAATAGTTAGTAAAAAATTATAACGTTAATTGATGAAAAAATTATAAAATCAATTATTAAAATATAAAATGCTACAAAAGTTATATTTTTTAAAAGAATAAATATTTTTTTCTATATTTTAAATGATCCTTCAATATTTTCTTTTTCACATGACTATTTGGATGTATTTTTTTTTTTGGTAAGCGACTATTTGGATGTATTTATTACTCGAGAACTATACTTATTGCACTTATATTATTAGGAAATTCAAAAAAATTGGCCTCGAAATTAAATTCAATATTTAGTTTTATATCATCTTAATGAGTATTTCTAATGATCTTCTTAATTATTTAAAGAAAAACTATTAGACACCTTTTAGGTTTTCAAAATATTAATATTTCTACTTTTTTATTTTGTACTTATTGTTTTGAGTAATTAAGAAATGTACGAAATTTTGTTTAAAAAATATATCATTATTCATAATGTATATCAATGATTTAAAAAGTAGACTAGTCCTTGACCGATGAATAAAAAGTTACGATATTTTGAGGTTAAATCAGGTGATATCAAAATTTACATATTGACCAACATATCAAAACTTTTTAATCTTATATTTTATTGTTAAATTATTATTAACATTTTAATTGATCTTTAAAGGAGAATTTAACATTTTCGGATGTGTAATAACCTTGAAAAACAATTTGTGATGGACGCAAGATAGAGCTACCAACAAAAATAATTTATGCATTATTTTTAAAATAAATGACTTGACAATTTTGGTTTAATTTCACATAACGAAGTTGTATAAAGAAGCTAATTTCTTCCGAAATTGTTGTCTCCTTTCATAAAAAGTTTTTCACAATAGATTGTCTTTCCCACCCCCCTCAAAAAAAAAAACAAAAAAAAAAAAAAAGTTTGATCCTTGTGCCAAAAATTCCACGAGAGTTAAAGATTTCACGAGATCTAATCATTAGCTAAGTCTCCCGAAACAATATTTGATTCTTGTGATTAATACTAGTATTAAACAATGGATTCCATAAATGTGTTAAATGTGTTAAGAAAAAAGAGTTTAATGTTTCTCCTATAAATTTAGAGATAAGTTATGTGGTGCAAAGTGTATAGGGCCCCTTTTTCTCTCTTTCTCTTCTCACATGACTCCATTCACTCCCTTGTGTTATAACTTTATCTTTGGTTCGGAGAAGAAACATTAAACCGCATCACTGCATTTGCAAATATGATGATGGACATGAGGCTAACCTTTTGATTCCCTGTCCATAAACCTGCCAATGCCACTTTAAGAGCAAGTATTAAAATAAAACTGTTAACCATATATAGCTTGTGCATTGAATCAGAATAAAAGGAAAGTTTGCTTGAAACTTTAAATTTGGATCCCCACTAAGTACAATTCTCAAACCACAATGATTCTTGGTGGTTTGGTACACGAAATAGTATATATGATCTACCCAAAATTTTCTCACAATTTCCTTTTTACAACAAAACAACACCGTCAATTGTTTTCTATAAATCATAAAACCAGAAATTAACACTAACGAAACTTCGCAACATCTCAAAATATATCCACTCACTCGGTCCCAAATGATAAATCAAATAATCAAAACCCTACACTGGTTTTGTACAAAATTTATTCCTCAAAGCTTCCTCCAGTTTTTGGAAAATCACTGAGAATGCTCCTGCAAAGAAAACAACCCACAAGTAAATTTTTTCACACTTTCTAGTTTCTAGCGGAGGCATTGCCATTTGAACTCTTTTTTTTTAGTACATTGCCATTTGAACTTAACCATTGCAATTATCGAAATATCAGCCGCAGGAACAACCAATGTACAAGGGTGCAAACAGTGTGAGGAGTAAATGTGCATCAGTAAAAAAAAATTCAGCAAAGTGATGAGCAATCGGTTAGAATTGCAATGTTTATAATGCACACCAAGCCCATATTCATAAGATTCATCATTTCACTTAGCTAAGAAGGACATCTTAGCAGCACAGGGTAAGAACATATTCCTCCAAAGCTATTTTTAGAGTCAGCTGTAGACTAAAATACTACAAACATAATGAAAATGACACTTAAGAAAATTAAAATTGGAAAAGCAGGTTGGAGAAAAACCTGATAATGGGCTATTCCTATCTTGTAAGGAACCTTTCACCAACAGTGTCCCAGGGATTTGCTGAAAAACCTGTAGGATGGAATACATAACACAAGACCAATGTAAATTCTGCCAATCAAAATCATTTTCCAATCCAACAAAGAATGCAAGCATACCAATATTCGAAGGCATAATCTATTCAAAGAGAAATTCAGACTTGATCCATTAGATGTCTCTCCTGTAGGTTGACAATCCATGGATTTATTGGTAATGGGTAATTCATTCTTCATGATTGAATCACACTCATCTTTCGATGCCACAACCTATTAAAATGCAATCACGCTAAATAGTCATCACAAGGAAATTAAATCAGAATCTGAGACACAGAGTAACTAGTCTTACATCCACCGTGAAAGAGGAGGTATTCAATGTACAGGATAGGCCATGCAAAGAGAAGTAAGACTTGACAGCTTCCAACACATTAATGGCACCATGTTGGCGTTGAAGTCCCTGAAAAGTATATTTGCTTCATGACATCACATCAGGAGGAACCAAAAGTGACACAACATACGAGAACATATATAGATGCAATTGATGACTATTTCAAGGCAACATGTATTTCATATAATTTGTTGAGATATATAAAACCATTAATGTAGCCTCACCCAAAAGTTTAAGCTTTTGGGTTGAATTGGTTCTTTACATGGTATCAGAGTCTCGTGTCTCGGGTTCAAAATCTTGCCACCTCCCACTTTCTCTTGTAGAATTTCTTAGCACAAGTAGGCTGGACCTGTTGCATTGTCCACTCTTCAAGCTCAAAGGGCTCTTGTGTGAAGGGGCGTGTTAAGATATATAGTCCCACATTGGTTGTATGAGCAACTAATGTGGCCTTTATAAGGCCTTGGGCACTCTCACCCTTTGAGCTAGCTTTTGGGGTAGTGTATCCCAAGGTTCTTTACATGGTATCAGAGCCTCGTGTCCCGGGTTCGATCCTCACCGCCCCCCACTTTCTCTTTTGGAATTTCTTAGCACAGGTAGGTGGGTCTGTGCATTGTCCACCCTTCAAGCCCAATAGGCTCTCGTGTGAGGGGGCGTGTTGAGATATATAAAACCATTAATGTAGCCTCACCCAATAGCTTAAGCTTTTGGGTTGAATTGGTTCTTTACATAATTGAAGACATCTTCCACAAACAAGGTTCCTAGCACAAGGTGTCAAATATTCCCAAATATCATGCTAGAAAGAGTGTCTTCTGTTCCAAATTAGTTGATAAAACCATATTTTGTTGTTTGAGCCGTATTTTGAATTAAGTTTCTTAGTCACCATGATATCCAACTTAATTCTTAGTGCATAAAATATATATTTATGCTCTCAACCATTCTATCAAGGGTCAATATCTTAGTATGCCAGATAATGCGCTAGGAACTAGGATTGCTCCCAGAACAATCACGTCATTTTTTCATTGGCACGGGATAACAATCATTTTTTATGGGTCCGCTTAAAATCAATACAGTTGTTAGAAACCGCAAATTAGATACTACACCTCAAGCATGAAGGACATGTTATTCTTGTCAGGCAAAGAAATTGATGACTTCTGTATGGGAGGCAAGAAAGACCAAGCAAGCCCCCATCGGGATGTCCTGCCTTGGACAAACTCAGTTGTCTTCACTATGGTTACGCCAACCTCCCAA